AGAGCAAGGGTTGAGGGAATAGGGAATGTTTTTCCTAAAAAAAGGAGGGATTTTGTTTAACAGAACTTTTCAGTCAGAAATGGCTGTAATTATGTTGTAGCTTCAGCAACACAGACAGTGCTATAAACACTGAGTTCTGTGGCTCCAGGGAGGAGAGAGATGAGAATGGGTTGTGGAGTCACATCACTCGCTGTCTTTTTTTAAAAACACAGGGCAGCAAGTCTGAGCCTGGCCCAGCACCATCAAATAAATTGCTGGTCGGACTCCCTCTAGTCATTTGTGTCTTAATTATTTAATCAAACAGTGTGCTTAAAGCATCAGACAAACTCAGTGAATATAGTTGATTTGATGAAAAACATAGAATGTGTGAATATGTGACTCACCACCTCGATTTTGTCATATGTAGCAACATTTGAAATGCTGTTTTTTCAATTGGATAAAAGTAGAGACTTTGAGAGCTACAAAATGGTATATCATACACTGCATTTTTGAGGAACAGTGGGAAAGTAATTATGCTTTGAAAGTTGATAAACTTGTAAACTCCCTTTTGAGAAAATGGCATTTGAATGTTTTGGTATCTAGTGAAGAGCTTTTTGTCTACACACATTCAGCATCGTTCACACCATCTTAAGCTTTAGCCCCACCCATCTCGTTCCGCTCTCGGAGCGTTCAGAGCGCACATTTGATGCTCTAGCCGATGACATGAAAACAGCCTAACCAGCTCAGCTGGCAACAATTTCATTACGCTTTTTTGCCGACGTTTATTGACACCAGCCATATTCAACAGGTGTTGTACACTTTAGCTTAAGACATGTAGCTAGCTAGCTAGGTAAACAATGAACCTAGCTAGGTAAATAGCTTAAGACATGTAGCTAGCTAGCTAGCTAGGTAAACATTGAACCTAGCTAGGTAAACAATGTATTTTACCTGTATACATCATCATGCCACCGCTGCCCTTAGTTTGAAGATGTAATCCGGAGACAGGTGTTTTCGCCATCTCTTTAGCTATCATACCCTAATTCCACTGATTTCAAAACTCGATCTTCCAGAAAATGGAGAGCAACACTTGTGCAGCTCCACTATACGATTCATTTTTTAAAAAGCCGCGTTCGAGAGGATTACCAACACAGACTGCCCAGCTCAAATAGACCAATCTGAACTCCTCTCTCGGCATGTCCAGCCCACTCATTATCTCAGCCAATCATGGCTTGTGAGAAGGTTGCTGTCTTTTTCTGTGGCTTAACCAACAAGGCTCATAATTTAACAATTGTATTCGTATTTACAGATTGTATACAAGTTTGTTATTAAGGCACATGAAAGTTCACATGTTCCAGAGGCATTTCTGCCAAAAACTTTGATAAAAATATAAATAAATGTTCAAATGGCTCTCCTGTGAAGTCGTGACTTGCGACTTACGCCTATTTTCCTGAAACGTGTCACATATATGGAAAAATACACGTTTAAAAATGTCTACCATCGATTGGTCGAAAGAACAGTTGACTCTTGGCCGACCAAGATTTTCTTTAGTCAGGGACAGCCCTAAATGTTAAAATCCCTATCACATGACACATTTAGTAATGACAGCATTTGCTTTCCAAACTGTATGTTTTTTGCATGATTGTATTTTGAAATTTGGGAAAGGCAAATGACAGCCGCAACCAACCATAAACATATGATCCATAGATGGCAGTTCCCATTCAAGTCAAGACTGGCAGCCATTGCTAGTGTACCCACGAGTTTAACAGTCAAATTGCCAGGTTTAGAGCTTTCAAAACCCTTCTATGGATTATAGGTATATGGCCACAAAGCAACAAGCTCTTCCACAGATAGGAGAAGGAGGATGGGAGGGGGAAAAAGGTGCTTGTGCATTGATAAGCACACCAAAGACGACATTAACGATAAGTAATAAAATAAAGACGACACTTCTAAAAGCCTATTTCAACCATAGCCTGCTGAATTTGCAAGAAAACTTTTCTTTCATTTTGATTTCGGCACAAATTAAAATGTGGCACTGACTCACCCATGGATTGATGTTTCAGCAATGTCTCAATGAAGAGTTCGGCATTCGACTCGCCATGTACGTCATGCACGCGCATTTACAAGCTTGCTAGAGTTAGCGGCAGGCGGACGAGCAATATCCATCGTCGTAGTATGGATGAAGCTATTTGAAGCTGGCTAGCTTTATAAAAGCCTGAGTAGATCTAGCTTGATTCGTAGTATACCACTCATAGTATACCATAGATGACAACAATGTTAAGCTTGAGTGTACAAGTGACAGCATGTAATTTAAAATGAGAAGAGAGGTGGAAAAGAGAACCTTCACGTAGGAGAAATAAGTAGCCCTGTGTCACCACCGTGACAACCAGATGCTCTTGGACTATGAGAGAACACATAGTCAGATGACCAGAGAGCAGCTGGAGTAGCAGTGTTCTCTGGGGTAATCCATGTCTCCGTCAGGGTCAAAAAGTGTATGGACTGAAGGGCGACATAGGCTGAGATCAACTCAGCCTTCAACTCAGCCTTCTTGACCACAGATCGGCAGTTCCAAATGCAGCTGGAGACTAGGAATTCCACATGGGTTTTGTGCGCACTGCTGCGCAGGGTAAACTAAATTAGAAGTCCATATTATGGTAAGAACAGCTAATCAAAGAGAAACGACATTACATCATTACTTTAAGACATGAAGGTCAGTCAATATGGAACATTTCAAGAACTTTGAAAGTTTCTTCAAGTGCAGTCGCAAACACCATCAAGTGCTATGATGAAACTGGCTCTCATGAGGACCGCCACAGGAATGGAAGACCCAGAGTTACCTCTGCTGCAGAGGATAAGCTCATTACAGTTACCCGCCTCAGAAATTGCAGCCCAAATAAATACTTCACAGAGTTCAAGTAACAGACACATCTCAACATCAACTGTTCAGAGGGGACTGTGTGAATCAGGCCTTCATGGTCAAATTGCTGCAAAGAAACCACTACTAAAGGACACCAATAAGAAAAAGAGACTTGCTTGAGCCAAGAAACACGAGCAATGGACATTAGACCGGTGGAAATGTGTCCTTTGGTCTGGAGTCCAAATTGTAGATTTTCGATTCCAACCGCCGTGTCTTTGTAAGATGCGGTGTGGGTGAACGGATAATCTCAGCATGTGTATTTCCCACCGTACAGCATGGAGGAGGAGGTGTTATGGTGTGGGTGTGCTTTGCTGGTGACACTGTCTGGGAAGCTGGTTGAGAGAATGCAAAGAGTGTGCAAAGCTGTCATCAAGGCAAAGGGTGGCCATTTGAAGAATCTCAAATATAAAATATATTTTGATTTGTTTAACACTTTTTTGGCTACTACATGATTCCATATGTGTTATTTCACAGTTTTGATGTCTTCACTATTATTCTACAATGTAGAAAATAGTAAAAAAAATAAAGAAAACCCTTGAATGAGTAGTGTATAATTTTTTTTAATTGATGGTTACTTTATTTTCATGCCGGTCTTCATCCATAACCATCAGTTATGCTGTTATATGGTAATTGTGCCTGCCCTATCTCCCATCCACAACCCATCACTCTGTCTCCTGTCGCTGACACGTCTAATCCTTGATCTAGCTAGAACATACCCTGAATTAAAATATAAACGCAACATGCAACAATTTCAAAGACTTCACTGAGTTACAGTTCATATAAGGAAATCCGTCAACTGAAATAAATAAATTAGGCCCTAATCTATGGATTTCACTTGACTGGGGATACAGATTTAAAAAAGGTAGGGGCGTGGATCAGAAAACCAGTCAGTTTCTGGTGTGACCACCATTTGCCTCATGCAGCGCAACACATTTCCTTCACTATAGAGTTAATCAGGCTGTTGATTGTGGCCTGTGCGAAGTTGCTAGATATTTGAGGGAACTGGAACACACTGTCGTACACATCGATCCAGAGCATCCCAAACATGCTCAATGGGTGACATGTCTGGTGAGTATGCAGGCCATGGAAGACCTGGGACATTTTCAGCATCCAGGAATTGTGTACAGATCCTTGCGACATGGGGCCGTGCATTATCATGCTGAAACATGAGGTGATGACGGCGGATGAATGGCACGACAATGGGCTTCAGGATCTCGTCATGGTATCTCTGTGCATTCAAATTGCCATTGATAAAATGCAATTGTGTTCGTTGTCTGTAGCTTATGCCTGCCCATACCATAACCCCACCGCCACCATGGGGTACTCTGTTCACAACGTTGACATCAGCAAACCGCTCCCCCACACGACGCCATACTGCCATCTGCCCGGTACATTTGAAACCGGGATTCATCCGTGAAGAGCACACTTCTCCAGCATGCCAGTGGCCATCAAAGGTGAGCATTTGCCCACTGAAGTCAGTTACGAAGCCAAACTGCAGTCAGCTCCTGGTGAGGATGAAGAGCACGCAGATGAGCTTCCCTGAGACGGTTTCTGACAGTTTGTGTAGAAATTATTTGGTTGTGCAAACCCACAGTTTCATCAGCTGTCCAGGTGGCTGGTCTAAGACGATCCCGCAGGTGAAGAAGCCGGATGTGGAGATCCTGGGCTGGCGTGGTTACACGTGGTCTGCGGCTGTGAGGCACGTTGGACGTACTGCCAAATTCTCTAAAACGATGATGTAGGCGGCTTCTGGTAGAGAAATTAACATTAAATGATTTGGCAACAGCTCTGGTGGACATTCCAGCAGTCAGCATGCCAATTGCACGCTCCCACAAAACTTTAGACATCTGTGGCATTGTGTTGTGTAACAAAACTGTAACCCTAACCCAACATTTGAGAGAAATAAGCTTTTTGTGTGTATGGACAATTTCTGGGATCTTTCATTTCAGCTCTTGAACATGGGACCAACACTTTACATGTTGCATTTATATTTTTGTTCAGTATATATCACCAAACTCCTTAGCTACCTGTCTCCTGTGAATCCACACTATTGTAATTCACTCTATTTATATTGCTATGGTGTTATCCCCCTCGACAGGACACTAACATGCAGGAGAAGATAGACGTTGAGATCTGCATGCGGGACGGGGCCTACAAGCTCCCGGTGGCCAGCACCATAAAAGAGTAGATCCTGAATGCCTCCAAGAACCTCCTGACCTGCAACTCTCGGATCAAGGCCTACAAGACAGAGCTGCACAAGAAGGAGGACCACGATATGAGAGTCAAATCTCTGAGGAGGTAAAGATAACGGACCTTCTATTGTGTCTGTTTGTGTGTTTATTTTTGTGGAGTCGTGCTCCATAAGTGAAGTTGAATTTACAATATGTTTTGGTCTGCCATAGACTATCAGATCCTGTTTCGAATGATCATGTGGCCTGAAGTGGAAAAGTGGCCTTGTCTGGTAAGATCCTTTTTTTCTGGAGTCATAGAAGAGAACAAGGCCTACAGTGAAGTTGAATTTACAATATGTTTTGGTCTGCCATAGACTATCAGATCCAGTTTCAAATGATCGTGTGGCCTGAAGAGGAAAAGTAGCCTTGTCTGGTAAGATCCTATTTTTTGGTAGGAGAAGAGAACTATTAATATCCTGTATCCTATCTTTCTTTTTCCTTGTAATGTCATGAAGATATTGGAGCCGAGCAGCATGCCTTATAACCATTGTTGGAGAGAGTAAATAATTTACTGACAGGTTTGTCTTTGTCCCACACTGTAGGGCTGCAGATGCCGTTGATGTGGAAAGATTCTGACCACTTCAATAACAAAGAACGTGAGTAGCTTATGTCATTTGTTGTTTTCAGTGAATGGAAAGGAAAGCAGATGTTTGTTCAGGGAAAAACAATAACAGATGCTGTAGAAATTCAGTTCATAGAGACTGAACCTAATAATTAAAGCCAATTCTCATATACAATATTCAAGTCTGGATGCTGGAGCTGATCGTGGACTACAGGAGACAGCAGATAGAGCTTCAAGGTCCTCGGCGTGCACATCACTGAGGACCTGAAATGGTCCCTCAACACCGACAGTGTGGTGAAGAAGGTGCAAGAGCACCTCTTCATCCTCAGGAGGCTGAAAAAATGTGGCTTTGCCCCTAAGACCCTCACAAACTTTTACAGATGCACCATCAAGATAATTCTGTCGGGCTGTATCACCACCTGGTATGGCAACTGCACCACCAGCAACCGCAGGGCTCTCCAGAGGGTGGTGTGGTCAGCCCAGCGCATCACCGGGGCATGTAATTTTCAGGACATTTACACTTTAATAATTTAGCAGATGCTCTTATCCAGAGCGACTTACAGGAGAAATTGGGGTTAAATGCCTCGCTCAAGGGCACATTGAACTGATTTTTACCTAGTTGGCTCGGGGATTCGAACCTGCGACTTTTCAATAACTGGCCCAATAACTGCTAGGCTACCTGACTCCCTGCCGACATCTAGATCACCCGGTGTCACAGGAAGGCTAAGAAGATCGTCAAAGACCTCAGCCACCCGAGCCACGGCCTGTTCACCCCGCTACCATCTAGAAGGTGGAGAAGTACACGTGCATCCAAGTTGGGACCAAGAGACTGATAAACAGATTCCAGGCCATCAGACTGTTAAAATCACCACTAGCCAGCCTCCGCCAATACCCTGCCCTGAACCTTAGTCACTGTTACTAGCCGGCTACCACCCGGTACTCTAACCTGCACCTTAGAGATTGCTGCCCTATGTACATAGTCATTGAACACTGGTCACTTTAATAATGTTTACATACTGTTTTACCCACTTTATATGTATATATTGTATTCTAGACATGGCTCATCCTATGCCTTCAGAAAGTATTCATACCCCTTGACTTCTTCCACATTTTGTTGTGTTACAAAGTGGGATTAAAATGGATTTAATTGTCATTTTTGTCAATGATCTAGACAAAATACTCTAATGTCAAAGTGGAAGAATAATTCTAACATTTATTTGTAAAATTAATGGAAAAGAAAACACTAATGTGTCTTTTTAGATAAGTATTCAATCCCCTGAGTCAAAACGTGTTAGAATCACCTTTTGCAGCGATTACAGCGTTGAGTCTTTCTGGGTAAGTCTCTAAGAGATTTGCACACCTGGATTGTACAATATTTGCCCATTATTCTTTAATACATTATTCTTTAAAACATTCTTCAAGCTCTGTCAACATAGCTTCAATCTAAGCCTACTAGAAAGTATGTGCCCTCAGGCCTGGAGGGAAGCAAAAGTAATTCCGCTACCCAAGAACAGTAAAGCCCCCCTTTACTGGCTCAAATAGCCGACCAATCAGCCTGTTACCAACCCTTAGTAAACGTTTGGAAAAAATGGTGTTTGACCAGATAAAATGCTATTTTACTGTAAATAAATTGACAACAGACTTTCAGCACGCTTATAGGGAAGGACATTCAACAAGCATGGTACTTACACAAATTACTGATGATTGACTGAGAGAAATTGATGATAAAAAGATTGCAGGAGCTGTTTTGTTAGACTTCAGTGCGGCTTTTGACATTATCGATCATAGTCTGCTGATGGAAAAAACGTTATGTGTTATGGCTTTACACCCCCTGCTATATTGTGGATAAAGAGTTACCTGTCTAACAGAACACAGAGGGTGTTCTTTAATGGAAGCCTCTCGAACAGAATTCCCCAGGGAAACTGTCTAGGCCCCTTACTTTTTTCAATCTTTACTAATGATATGCCATTGGCTTTGAGTAAAGCCAGTGTGTCTATGTATGCGGATGAATCAACACTATACACGTCAGCTACTACAGCGAGTGAAATCACTGCAACACTTAACAAAGAGCTGTAGTTAGTTTCAGAATGGGTGGCAAGGAATAAGTTAGTCCTAAATATTTCAAAAACGAAATGCATTGTATTTGGGACAAATCATTCATTAACCCTAAACCTCAACTAAATCTCTTAATAAATAATGTGGAAATTTAGTAAGTTGAGGTGACTAAACTGCTTGGAGCAATCCTGGATTGTAAACTGTCATGGTCAAAACATGTTGATACAACAGTAGCTAAGATGGGGAGAAGTCTGTCCATAATAAAGTGTTGCTCTGCCTTTTTAACAACACTATCAACAAGGCAGGTCCTACAGGCCCTAGTTTTGTCGCACCTGGTCTACTGTTCAGTCTTGTGGTCAGGTGCCACAAAGGACCACAGAAAATTACAATTGGCTCAGAACAGGGCACCACAGCTGGCCCTTAAATGTACACGGAGAGCTAACAATAATATGCATGTAAATCTCTCATGGCTCAAAGTTTAGGAGAGATTGACTTCATCACTACTTGTTTTTGTAAGAAGTGTTGACATGCTGAATGCACCGAGGTGCCTATTTAAACTACTAGCACACAGCTCGGACACCCATGCATACCCCACAAGACATGCCACCAAAGGTCTCTTCACAATCCCCAAGTCAAGAACAGACTATGGGAGGCGCACAGTACTACAGTGAGGGAAAAACGTATTTGATCCCCTGCTGATTTTGTAAGTTTGCCCACTGACAAAGATATGATCTGTCTATAATTTTAATGGTAGGTTTATTTGAACAGTGAGAGACAGAATAACACAGAAAAATCCAGAAAAACGCATGTCAAAAATGTTATAAATTAATTTGCATTTTAATGAGGGAAATAAGTATTTGACCCCTCTGCAAAACATGACTTAGTACTTGGTGGCAAAACTCTTGTTGGCAATCACAGAGGTCAGACGTTTCTTGTAGTTGGCCACCAGGTTTCCACACATCTCAGGAGGGATTTTGTTCCACTCCTCTTTGCAGATCTTCTCCCAGTCATTAAGGTTTCGAGGCTGACATTTGGCAACTCGAACCTTCAACTCCCTCCACATATATTCTATGGGATTAAGGTCTGGAGACTGGCTAGGCCACTCCAGGACCTTAATGTGCTTCTTCTTGAGCCACTCCTTTCTTGCCTTGGGCGTGTGTTCTGGGTCATTTTCATGCTGGAATACCCATCCACGACCCATTTTCAATACCCTGGCTGAGGGAAGGAGGTTCTCACCCAAGATTTGACGGTACATGGCCCCGTCCATCGTCGCTTTGATGCGGTGAAGTTGTCCTGTCCCCTTAGCAGAAAAACACCCCCAAAGCATAATGTTTCCACCTCCATGTTTGACGGTGGGGATGGTGTTCTTGGGGTCATAGGCAGCATTCCTCCTCCTCCAAACACGGCAAGTTGAGTTGATGCCAAAGAGCTCGATTTTGGTCTCATCTGACCACAACACTTTCACCCAGTTCTCTTTTGAGTAATTCAGATGTTCATTGGCAAACTTCAGATGGACATGTATATGTGCTTTCTTGAGCAGGGGGACCATGCAGGCGCTGCAGGATTTCAGTCCTTCACGGCGTAGTGTGTTGCCAATTGTTTTCTTGGTGACTATGGTCCCAGCTGCCTTGAGATCATTGACAAGATCCTCCCGTGTAGTTCTGGGCTGATTCCTCACCGTTCTCATGATCATTGCAACTCCACGAGGTGAGATCTTGCATGGAGCCCCAGGCCGAGGGAGATTGACAGTTATTTTGTGCTTCTTCCATTTGCGAATAATCGTACCAACTGTTGTCACCTTCTCACCAAGCTGCTTGGCGATGGTCTTGTAGCCCATTCCAGCCTCGTGTAGGTCTACAATTTTGTCCCTGACATCCTTGGAGAGCTCTTTGTTCTTGGCCATGGTGGAGAGTTTGGAGTCTGATTGATTGATTGCTTCTGTGGACAGGTGTCTTATATACAGGTAACAAACTGAAATTAGGAGCACTCCCTTTAAGAGTGTGCTCCTAATCTCAGCTCGTTACCTGTATAAAAGACACCTGGGAGCCAGAAATCTTTCTGATTGAGAGGGGGTCAAATACTTATTTCCCTCATTAAAATGCAAATCAATTTACAACATTTTTGACATGCGTTTTTCTGGATTTTTTTGTTGTTATTCTGTCTCTCACTGTTCAAATAAACCTACCATTAAAATTATAGACTGATGATTTATTTGTTAGTGGGCAAACGTACAAAATCAGCAGGGGATCAAATACTTTTTCCCCCTCACTGTACATAGAGCCATTGCTACATGGAACTCTATTCCATATCAGGTAACTGATGCAAGCATTAGAACCAGATTTAGAAAACAGATAATATTACATCTTATGTAACAGCGGGGACTGTGAAGAGACACATACAGAGGTACAGACACACACACACACACACACAGGCACACACACGTACACACAGACTTAGTATTGTAGATATGTGGTAGTAGAGTAGTGGCCTGAGGGAACACGTAATGTGTTGTGAATAGTGTTATGAAATGTAATGTCATGTAATATATAGTAATAGTAATAGTAATATGCCATTTAGCAGACGCTTTTATCCAAAGCGACTTACAGTCATGCGTGCATACATTTTTGTGTATGGGTGGTCCCGGGGATCGAACCCACTACCTTGGCGTTACAAGCGCCGTGCTCTACCAGCTGAGCTACAGAGGACCACTATATTAAATTGTATATAACTGCCTTAATGTTGCTGGACCCCAGGAAGAGTAGCTGCTGCCTTGGCAGCAGCTAATGGGGATCCTTAATAAATACAAATACAAAAGTTGGTTGTTGATCCTTGCTTAACAGCCATTTTCAAGTCTTGCCATAGATTTTCAAGCAGACAGGAACATTAAATGTTGTCTTGGTAAGCAACTCCACTTGGCCTTGTGTTTTAGGTAATTGTCATGCTGAAAGGTGAATTTGTCTCCAAGTGTCACGATCGTTGACTGAAGACACGGACCAAGGTGCAGTGTGATAAGCGTACATACTTTTATTAACGTACTTAACGACAAAAATAACAAACAAACGATACGTGAAGTCCTGAGGATATAACACAACAAACCTTTACGGATCAAGATCCCACAAAGACTAGTGCAAAACAGGCTGCCTAAGTATGGTCCCCAATCAGAGACAACGAGCTACAGCTGCCTCTGATTGGGAACCACCCTGGCTAACATAGATCAAACGATCTAGAACAAAAACATAGAAAAACTAAACATAGCAAATCCACACTCTGGCTCAACATTTAAGAGTCCCCAGAGCCAGGGCGTGACAGTACCCCCCCCCCCCCCCCCCAAAGACACACAAACACAAGAGGGTAGGGGCCGAGGCGGATCCGGCTCCGGGCGTGACTACCACTCTCTCTCCACCCCCCCGTTGCGCCCCTGATCTGGTCCCGCTGGCCGGAGCTGGACTGGACACCGGTGGAGCGGATTGCTCTGGCTCCGGAGTGGATCCGCTGACTGGAGTTGGACCGGACCCCGGTGGAGTGGATTGCTCTGGCTCCGGAATGGAGCAGCTGACCGGTGCCGGACCAGGCACCGGTGGAACAGGCACGGGCCGTGCCGGACTGGACACACGCACCACTGGCTTGGTGCGGGGAGCAGGAACAGGCCGGACCGGGCTGGCGACGCGCACCACTGGCTTGGTGCGAGGGACAGGAACAGGCCGGACCGGGCTGGCGACGCGCACCACTGGCTTGGTGCGAGGGACAGGAACAGGCCGGACCGGGCTGGCGACGCGCACCACTGGCTTGGTGCGAGGGGCAGGAACAGGCCGGACCTGGCTGGCGACGCGCACCACTGGCTTGGTGCGGGGAGCAGGAACAGGCCGGACCGGGCTGACGACGTGCACCACTGGCTTGGTGCGGGGAGCAGGAACAGGCCGGACCGGGCTGGCGACGCGCACCACTGGCTTGGTGCGAGGGACAGGAACAGGCCGGACCGGGCTGGCGACGCGCACCACTGGCTTGGTGCGAGGGACAGACACAGGCCGGACCGGGCTGGTGACGCGCACCACTGGCTTGGTGCGGGGAGCAGGAACAGGCCGGACCGGGCTGACGACGCGCACCACTGGCTTGGTGCGGGGACAGGAACAGGCCGGACCGGGCTGGCGACGCGCACCACTGGTTGGTGCGAGGGACAGGAACAGGCCGGACCTGGCTGGCGACGCCCACCACTGGCTTGGTGCGAGGGATAGGAACAGGCCGGACCGGGCTGGCGACGCGCACCACTGGCTTGGTGCGAGGGACAGGAACAGGCCAGACCGGGCTGGCGACGCGCACCACTGGCTTGGTGCGAGGGACAGGAACAGGCCGGACCGGGCTGGCGACGCGCACCACTGGCTTGGTGCGGGGAGCAGGAACAGGCCGGGCTGGACTGGGAACACGCACCATTGTCTTGGTGCGGGGAGCCGGAACGGGCCGGGCCGGACTGTGGAGGCGGACTGGAGGTCTGGATCGGAGAGCTGACACAACCCGTCCTGGCTGAATGCCTATTTCCACACAATATGTGTGAGGCATCAGCACAGGACGTACAGGGCTGTGCACTCGTACTGGCGCTACAGCACGTGGCACTGGCGCAGGATATACGGGACCGAGGAGGGGTACTGGAGGCCACGAGCGTTGAGCCGGCACACCCCGTCCTGGCTGCATGCCCACCTTAGCACGAGACATGCGTGGTGCTAGCACAGGACGTACAGGACTGTGCCGGAACACTCGCAGCACAGTACGTGGCTCCGCCAACCACCCTTTTAGCCCCCCCCAAAAAAAATATTGGGGCTGTCTCTCGGGCTTCCTCCCCGGCCGGTACCCTCTGCTTTGCCGCTGCTCCTCTCTGTAGCGCGCCTCCACAGTCTCCTCTCCTGGCTGGGCATTCACCTTTGCCCATGGCCCTTTCCCCGCGAATATCTCCTCCCAAGACCACCATTTGCCCACCTGCGACATCGCCATCTTCTCCTCCTGGGCACGCTGCTTGGTCCTCTTATGGTGGGATCTTCTGTCACGATCGTTGACTGAAGACACGGACCAAGGCGCAGCGTGATAAGCGTACATACTTTTATTAACGTACTTAACGACAAAAATAACAAACAAACGATACGTGAAGTCCTGAGGTTATAACACAACAAACCTTTACGGATCAAGATCCCACAAAGACTAGTGCAAAACAGGCTGCCTAAGTATGGTCCCCAATCAGAGACAACGAGCTACAGCTGCCTCTGATTGGGAACCACCCTGGCTAACATAGATCAAACGATCTAGAACAAAAACATAGAAAAACTAAACATAGCAAATCCACACCCTGGCTCAACATTTAAGAGTCCCCAGAGCCAGGGCGTGACACCAAGTGTCTGTTGGAAAGCAGACTGAACCAGGTTTTCCTCTTGGATTTTGCCGGTGCTTAGCTGTATTATTATTTTTTTATTTTTTTAATTATGCCTTAGTCCTTGCCGATGACAAGCATACCAATAACATGATGCAGCCGCCATCATGCTTGAAAATATGAAGAGTGGTACTCATTGATGTGTTGTGTTGGATTTGCCCCAAACATAACACTTTGTATTCAGGACAAACGGTTAATTTCTTTGCCAATTTTTTGCAGTATGACTTTAGTGCCTTATTGCAAACAGGATGCATGTTTTGAAATATTTTTATTCTGTACAGGCTTCCTTCTTTTCACTCTGTCATTTATGTTAGTATTGTGGACTAACTACAATGTTGTTGATCCATCCTCAGTTAGCTCCTATCACAGCCATTAAACTGTAACTTTTTTAAAGTCACCATTAGCCTCATGATGAAATCCCTGAGCGGTTTCCTTCATCTCTGGCAACTGTTAGGAAGGGTGCCTGCATCTTTGTACTGACTGGGTGTATTGATACACCATCCAAAGACTAATTTATAACTGAATCATGCTCAAAGGGATATTCAATGTCTGCTTTTTGTTTACCCATCTACCAATGGGTGCCCTTCTTTGCGAAGCATTGGAAAACCACCCTGGTCTTTGTGGTTGAATCTGTGCTTGAAATTCACTGCTCGACTGAGGGACCTTACAATTATCTGTATGTGTGGGGTACAGAGAATGGGTAGTAATAAAAAAAATCGTGTTAAACACTATTATTGCATACAGAGTGAGTCCATGCAACTTATTATGTGACTTGTTAAGCACATTTTTACTACTGAACTTATTTAGGCTTGCCATAACAAAAGGGTTGAATACTTATTGACTCAATTTGTAAACATAATTCCACTTTGACATTATGAGGTATTGTGTATAGATCAGTGACACAAAATCAAAATGGTATCCTTTTAAAATTTGGGCTGTAACACAACAAAATATGGAAAGAGTCAAGGGGTGTGAATACTTTCTGAAGGCACTGTAACTACTGCTGTACACACCTTTTCTATTCATATACTGTCCATACTGTCTATACACAGCAGTATATAATCATTTTCTGCACCTGCGATAACATCTGTTTACCAATAAACTGTTGATTTTGATAGTGCAACACTTTTCGATATACCGTAGTTATGATTGTGAATCCTGGTTTTAGGCTCACGGCAGATTGCGCGGGTTATGGACATATCGATGACGGACATTTGTTTTGAGGGTGTAACAATTTTGTAATTATTCACAACAAATACAAACTCATATTGTTGAAATGGGATACCTTGGTTCTATGACTACAGGACCCTATCATATTCTCTCCAGCCTCCTGTTAAGTGTTCTGAGTCTGACATTTCCATCCTGATTCACAGCAACGAGGTTGGTCCTGCCTTCGAGCTGAAGGTGGAGCTCTATAGCTGTAACATAGAGGAGGACACCACCCTGGTCAACACCCCAAAGAAACTGGCCAAGAAGTTCAGCAACTCCTTCGGCAGGGCCTCTGGGAGGAAACTCTGCCCCCTGCTGGACGCTGGAGACCCGATTCTTTCCTGCAGTCCAGCCCAATACCCCTATATGTGTGCTGTTGTTAAGGCCCAGAGTTTTCCATGGTCACGTCTCGTGGTCAGGAAAAACGATAGGTGCTGATTATACAGTGGGGTCCAGCATTATTGGCACCCTTGATAAAGATGAGGAAAAAATACTGTATAAAATAAATAATACAAATACTGAGCTATATTGTATGCTCAAACAAATGGGAAAATCATATTATTTTATACTATTACAACTGCTCAGAGAAAAATGTTTTGTTTAACAAGTAAAAAACTAATCTAGAAAGGATAGGGGTCAAAATTAATGGCACCCCTGTTTTCAGTCCTCCATCACCCTACCCTTGCGAGGATAATGACACAGCCTTTTTCTAAAATGTTTTATGAGTTTGGAGAACACATTGTGAGGGATCTTAGACCATTCCTCCATACAGAATATTTTCCAGATCCTTGATATCCTTTGTCTGCACTTATGAATGCCCTCTTCAATTCAAACCACAGGTTTTCAATGACGTTCAAGCCCAGAGACTGAGATTGTCATTGCAAAAAAAATATTTTGTGTTCAATTAACCATTTTTTTGTGGATTTTAATGTGTGCTAGCACCGCCTGGAGTTTGATAAAACGGCATTGGCACTTCGATTGGAACCAGTGCTATGTTTAGATGACATGAAAATAGAGCTCTTTCGCCATGCACACCAGTGGTGGTGAAAAACGGAATCATATGCAGAAAAGTACCTCCTACCCATAACCGTGGGAAGTAGGGGTGCTGAGGGTGCTGCATCACCCCCTTGAAAAATCGGAATAAAAATAATAAGATATATATATCATATATTTTTTCACAAAAGTAGTGCAATGGGCCTTTAATAGTCCTGCATTAGCGGACCATCTGCAGCACGGGCAAAAAGTTTTACCCTATAACCACATATTATATTGTCTTTGATTTTGCTGATATGCAGTTTGGGTGAGAAATTATAACATACTTAAAATAATAATACAATAAAATAAAACATTATTTTAACATGGAGTCACATTGAGACACAGGTCTCTTTTTCAAATGAACCCTGCAATACACAAATACACATATTAAATATAAAATGCTATCAATAAAATAATAAATATATTAAATAATACATACAGTACCAATCAAGAGTTTGGACACACCTACTCATTCAAGGGTTTTTCTTTATTTTTTAATATTTTCTACATTGTAGAATAATAGTGAAGACATCAAAACTATGAAAAACACATAAGAAATCATGTAGTAACCAAAAAAGTGTTAAACAAATCAAAATATATTTTATATTTGAGATTCTTCAAATAGCCACCCTTTGCCTTGATGACAGCTTTGAACACTCTTGGCATTCTCTCTACCAGCTTCACCTGGAATGCTTTTCCAACAGTCTTGAAGGAGTTCCCACATATGCTGAGCACTTGTTGGCTGCTTTTCCTTCTCTCTGCCGTCCGACTAATCCCAAACCATCTCAATTGGGTTGAGGTCAGGGGATTGTGGAGGTTGGGTCATCTGATGCAGCACTCCATCATTCTCCTTCTTGGTAAAATAGCCCTTACACAGCCTGGAGGTGTGTTGGGTCATTGTCCTGTCGAAAAACAAATGATAATCCCACTAAGCTCAAACCAGATGGGATGGTGTATCGCTGCAGAATGCTGTGGTAGCAATACTGGTTAAGTGTGCCTTGAATTCTAAATAAATCACAGACAGTGTCACCAGCAAAGCACCCCCACACCATAACACCTCCTCCTCTATGCTTTACGGTGGGAACTCCACATCTCCAATTTGGACTCCAGACCAAAGGACACATTTCCACCGGTCTATGTCCATTGCTTGTGTTTCTTGGCACAAACAGGTCTCTTCTTCTTATTGGTGTCCTTTAGTAGTGGTTTCTTTGCAGCAATTCGACCATGAAGGCCTGATTCACGCAGTCCCCTCTGAACAGTTGATGTTGAGATGTGTCTGTGACTTGAACTCTGTGAAGCATTTATTTGGGCTGCAATTTCTGAGGCTGTTAACTCTAATGAACTTATCCTCTGCAGCAGAGGTAACTCTGGGTCTTCCATTCCTGTGGCGGTCCTCATGAGAGCCAGTTTCATCATAGCGCATGATGGCTTTTGAGACTGCACTTGAAGAAACTTTCAAAGTAATGATGGACTGTCTTTTCTCTTTGATTATTTTAGCGGTTCTTGCCAAAATATGGACTTGGTCTTTTACCATATAGGGCTATCTTCTGTATACCCCCCCCCCCCCACACACCTTGTCACAACACAACTGATTGGCTCAAACGCATTAAGAAGGAAAGAAATTCCACAAATTTTTAAGAAGGCACACCTGTTAATTGAAATGCATTCCAGTTGACTACCTCATGAAGCTGGTTGAAAGAATTGCCAATACTGTGCAAATGTGTCATCAAGGCAAAGGGTAGCTATCTGAAGAATCTCAAATATAAAATATATTTTCATTTGTTTAACACTTTTTCGGTTACTACATGATTCCATATGTGTTTTTCATAGTTTTGATGTCTTCACTATTATTCTACAATGTAAAACATAGTAACGATAAAGAAAAACCTTGAATGACTAGGTGTGTCCAAACTTTTGACTGGTAGTGTCACGGATCCCCCCGGTACTGCTGCTCATTCCCGTTCACCAGCTCCGGAGGTCTACGTCACCAGCCTTCTAGGTGTCACTGACCTGGTTCATTACCACCAACCCCGGACTGTCTTGTCTCATTACGCACACCTGGTTCCCATTCCCCCTGATTAGTATGTGGATATATGTGCCCTCTGTTCCCCATTGTCCTTGTCGATTATTGTCCCATGTCCGTTGGTCTCGTGAGGACCGTGTATTGTGCTCTTGTTATTACGGGTCTCGTCCCGTGTATTTGTTTTGAGGTTTATACCTCGCTCTTTTGTTTGGGTTACATCCCAGTGTTATATATATACGTGTTTGTTTTGGGCTTCGTCCCCGTCATTTTTCATGACATACCTTATGTTGGGTGGAGTAATACAAAACCCTAACACGTATTCCTGCGCCTGTCTTCAAATCATTATACAACGTGACAGAATAATCAACCCATAAAAATGGAGACGGTGGGAAAGGCAGAGCTGGCGACCATCGTAGAGAGTCCAGCATCATGAGGAATGTCTCTCCAGACTCGGCAGCGCCATGGACAGCGTGCTGGCAACCATCCTGCGGTTGGAGGGGAAAGTGCAGTCCCTCCAGTCTCCAGCACCGGTTCCGGCACCAGCCCCCACACCACCACAACCTGCCTCCGTCCCATTTGAGCCGGTCCGTGGAATACCCCTGAGCACTTTGATGGCGCGCCAGCGAGATGCAAGGGATTCCTTCTGCAATGCGACCTGTATCTCTCTCGCTATGACGAGGCTGTCTCCGGGCGGTCTGGGAGACGGGCGGACCCGAAGTCGAGTCCTACGAGCGCTTCACCCTCCTCTTCCGCTTGGTGTTTGATCATCCTGTGGAGGGCCGAGAGGGGGGTGAGCATCCCGACTACGCCAGGGATCTAGGACCGCCTCGGAGTTCACCCTGGAGTTCCGGACCATTGTGGCCTCCACCGGATGGAACGAGTCGGCTCTGGTCACCGTTTTCCACAGTGGACTGCAGGAGGAGGTACAGATGGAGTTAGCGTGCCGTGATGACAACCTGTCACTCGACTAGCTCATCAGCATGGCGATCCGGTTGGACAACCTCCTGTGGTCTCGACGAAGACCTGCGTGGAATCCGGAGTCCATGGCTACACCTGCTCCGTGGCCAGAGCCGATGGAGGTGGTCATTTCTCCCCAACCTGCCCTCTATCCACTAATAGGCGAGGAGATGACAAGCCAGGGAATTCCCCTGCCCCAACCCAGGGAGGATGCAAAATCTCCTCTCCTTTTCTGTCAACTCAACCAGTGTGTTTTTCCATAAAATTCCCTGAATACCCTAGCCCCTCACTCCCGTTAGCTCTGATTGATTCCGGAGCTGCCGGGAATCTTTTAGATAGCGCACTGGCCACTGCATTACGCATTCCTTTGGTTCCCCTCCAGTCACCCATTCTGGTTCAAGCCCTGGATAATCGTTCAATATGGACAGGGCTCGTACATCACATCACTGTTCCCGTTTCTCTGCTGACCCATGACACTCATTTAGAACAGATCACCATTTTGATTATAGACACCCCCACGCACCCCGTTGTTTTAGGTTGTGGTGTCGAGACAACGATGCTGATATGCTGTGTAGACAAGAAATCCGCTTGACACTGTACTTGATTATAAAGGTTTATTATATCAAAGGTTCCAGCGTCAATTTACAGATTTCTGCAGAAATCCGGAGAACAACTAACCCAATCTAAAAATGATTATTCTCCCCGTCCTTTGTTGAAACATGGTATTTATCCTATGTAACATAAGATGGGTGGTTTTTGATAGACCAATCCCTGGCCTCCACATATCTCCAAATGTCCTCTATTCCAAGGGGCCCCTGTAGTAATGCTTTCCAGATGTTTCAGCAAAGCAGAGTAAAGTTAATCTATCACACCATTTGCAAACGTCAGCCAAAATTATAAACTGTTCAGATACTACATATTTCCCCTCTTCGAGACTAATTAAGTATCGAAAACAAAAAGAATAGGATTATGACAAATAACAATTTTTCTTCTTGAGTAACTTTAGCAATAAACTAACATTTATGGAGAGTAAACACATTTTTATGTAGACACATTTTTGTGGAGTGTAAGAGCGAAAAACCTGTCTGGCAGCTTTCATTCCAAATATCCATCAATCAATCAAGACAGGAAAATTCTCTCACGGCCCCTCTGCCCCAGGCGACCACCTACGTACTCCAGATCAATTTATAAATCTTTATCAATGCATTTTAAACTATGATGCAATTGAATACACATGAAAACCTCAGAAAACAAAATACAATAAAATATGTCCACATTCAGGCTGGTCGACCCATCGGACCCTCCTGTGGATTCTCTCTGTCCCTGCCTAGACCCAATATCCCTAAGCATCCATGAAAAAACAAAAAACATCTGAGGTCCCCACATGTACCCAACAACAGAAAACATCATTCTTCAAACAATTAATACAGAAAGAATATGACACAAATTATGTATTACACATGCAAATATGTCTATATATCATTGCAGACACTGGAATGTAGTCCACTACACTGCATCTCCTCAGCAGTGTCGACTTTCAATGTAACGTCGATGATGGAATCTGAACATTTCCACACCTTCCTTGTTCCACTTCCTCCAGTCCATTCATATTGTCCATGTTTGAGTATTTGAGTCCCACTCTACACATTCCCCATATACTTCTGGAAGAAAAGAAAACACCAACCAGTATCTTTTGCAAAACAACACATGCAAATTAAAACATCAATATCAAAAATAATATAAAAATGATATATAAAATGAATCACATTACATTTCCCCCCTTTGATTCATAAGAAAATACTAAATATCACAATAATATGTAAAGACATGTGAAAAATGATCGGATATTCAAAATGGATATCTATCCATCGATACTCCATCCAGTCCCACTTGTTTATCTCCATCTAGATCAGTAACAGTTACCAACGGCATCTGAGTGTTGTCTCCAGGCATCACAACTCCAACCCATCTCAATATCATAGCCTTTGCAAAAGTCAATAACAAAGTACAAAAGCAAAACATCACACACAGC